TCAGAATAGAAGTAGTTACCATAAAATAAAAAAGTGGAATGTCAGGAGAAATTGCGATGAAAATGTCATATCCTTATTTACTTTTCGCATACTACTAGATTTATTTTTTGAAAGTCTCTTTAATTTTGGTTTTAAATGCCAACAATGTGCAGAGCTCTGTAAAGACGAAATGACAATTTTAATGTACTTTTTGAATTTCTGCTTTGCACTTGTATTCCAATACGTAGTATAATTTGTAGGGAAATTCAACTTTTATCCTTTTAACCTCAAAATATTGAATACCAAAATTGTAGAGCAAACAAGTGAAAAATCAAGTCCGCTTTTCTTTGTATCATATGGACGCACTGACTAGTATATAAGCATGAATAAAAAAACTATGATTAACTTGCACAAACATTTTTGCTAATATCATTGCAATTATTCGATTCTGCCACAAATGGAGGTCTTATGACTTCTACAATTGCAACAGGGCGTAGGCCAAACCTAATACCATTTGGCTTGCTTAATATTTATATATATATATCCGTTTAGCTTGTAAGATGGCTTGCTTTAAGACAGCTGACTGCCGTCTATAGGCGTGCACGTCTTCCGTTCTTCCAGTCTGATCCCGCTTTCTTTTCACTTCCTCAAGGTGTTCGGTACAAAACATTCGATAGTGTTTAGTCTTGCCACGTGGAATAATTTTCTTTGCACATCTGATCATAATATTCGTGATTCTGTTGCAAAGTTTGTCAGGATATTGGTTGAAGTTGGGGGGGGGGGACTTGTGTGACGTTCATTCTCCAAAAGGTTTGTGGATCTTGGCCAGTCAGCCTTCTTGAAGTTCCATGATCAACTTCTGTTTTGAGATGTGCTAGTATATTACAATAAAACATTGGCGATAAAGCTTCATACACGCCGTATAGTTTCAACCACCTTTGCACACATCATAACACGGCAGCAAAATCTGATCTTTTGATTTTGCATTTAATTCACATATTCTACTAAATTTTGTTAGTAGTAATTACATTTATTTATAATTATATCACCTGAACGCAAGTACGATATAATATAGTATTCAAATCTAAATTTCAGCAATGGTCAGAATTGATATTTCAATCCAGTTTTTACGATTAATACACTAGACTACACAAATACACCATAGTAGCACTTGCTTATTACTTCATATTTGATTATTTTTACTAGAAATTGACATTTAACGTCATTAATTAGACGTTTTTCTCCAGCCATTTCAATTACAAGAAATCTCTGCGAATTCCAATAAGTATTATGCATTAAAATCGCACTAAAATGGGCACACTTGTTTAGATAAAATAATTTAGATACTGAAATACGCTTGATTTTAATTAAAATAAACTTGGTGGAACAAAATTCACAATTGGGTTGAGTAAATTGAGGATTCTTTTCAGCCAGTCAAGATGAATACTTATTTATTTCAAATGGCAGACTTTTGACGGCTATCATTAGCCCTTCAGTTTGGGAGGTGGAGGGGAGGGGGGGGGGTCGAACGAAAGAGTGTTTTTTTCCAAGACGAAGGTAGAAAAAAAGTTGAGGAGTGTACTGGGGAAGAGGTTGAATGTGACACACAGTGGGTTCATAGCAATTTGAAGTCAGAAGTCAACTGCCGGTTAAAAGTCTTTTTTGCCGTGTCAACGTGTACGTTGCCCAGGGTGCACCACGTGCCGGTAAGTCTAGCGCACACCCCAAATATGAATATTAGAAGCCAATTGTAAAAAAGACGCGTTAAGTAAAAGAAACGCCATTGATTATGATTTACATTGTGTTAATGAACAATGTGAAGTTAGATAAAATTGTATGGAAATGAGAAATTAAATGTGAAAAAATATATTATGGTTATTACTTATTTTAACATATTTTAAACATAAAATGAAGGGTATAGCAGTTGTGTACACAGTTACAGCATATTTAAAATATTTCTTAGTGGGCATTAAAAAATGTGCCCAAATTTATTTTGTTTGGACTAGAATAGATTCTTCTGTTCTGTCAGAGTAGGTCTGGAATTTTGAGAACATTTCCTGTCTGACGGAATTCAAAATCAATGAATTCCAAGAAAACTTATCATTTACTAATTAACTGATCTTGCGCACGAAATCACTTGATTCCGAAATGAATATTAACAAAAATACTCGTTTGCTAAGCAACCATTATCTCAAATAAAGATGTGCGCATTCATTTAGAACTTCTATTAGTCTACTAAACGTTCGATTTTATTTTAGTAATTCGTCTCTGACGACCTTGGTTAAATTACGAAAGGTAGTGTGGGGGGTGACAAAGCAGAATTTGCAGCCCCACCTTAAATTTCGAAATGAAATGACTCGACTTTTGGTAACAAACTTAATTGGAATGATAATGAAAACAATTTTTAAATAGATGTAGTTGATTAAGAACATTTGAAAAGTTAATTTAATTGGCGAGTTTTGTAAAAATCAATCGTTCATTCTAATTTTGGGAATAAGTCATGGCACCACATTCTGTGGCATAGTGAATTCACAGAAAGCATTGAATTTACTTAAACAAGTTTAGACATGGTTTGTTTTCCAATGTTACATAAGTCCTTTTCTTATGCCTAAAATTGATTTATTGGCTGTACCTGAGGTTGGTTAGGCCAGAAATGATCTATGAATATTAATGTTTCTTTGCCTGCTGGCAAAATCGCCTTAGAATTTGGTAGAAAAAGTTCCTTGAAGCTGAAACCCTCTGGTTTAAGGCTAACAAATATGCTAGGCACTTAGTTCAGATTTGAAAGCAACAAATTAGCTTTCTGTTTTATCAATAAGTAGAAATTTATTTATATTTATTTCAAATGGCAGGCTTTGTGATATTTATCATTAGCCCTTAAACTTTGACTTCAGCTTACCCCAAGGGTCGAGGATACATTTATATCAGTTAATTAACAGCAGTTAATTAGCTGTCTACTTGCATCCCAGTATCTCTGGCTTTTCGTCGTTGTCTTTAGGGCTGGAAACCGAATCAGGTGGGTCTTCTCCATTTCCTCCTGTAGGTTACATAGAGGGTATGCGGGTTGAGTGTATACTCACAATCTGTGAAGGTGTTTTGTCAAGCAATCGTGTCCGGTACGTAGTCTAAACTCAGCAACGGCTTCGGTTCAGCATGCTTGTGAGGGAGATAGGCCTAAATTTTTCAACGTTGTTAGGGTCTTTGCCCTTTTTTAGTACTGGTATTACTATGTCAGCTTTCCATTGGTTAGGTACGAGACTGGTCTCCCAGATTTTGCTGAAAAGCTTCAGCATGGTTTCCTTGGCTTATGATCCTATTCTAATTAGAAATTCCGGATGAATACTATCTTTGCCAGGAGACTTGTTGCACTTTAGCTGTTTAATCGCAGCATGAAGTTCGCAAGATCTGAATGGTTCAGTAAGTATATTATTTGGGGTTGCTATAGCTTCGTTAATTTCACCAAACTGTCATACTTGTATCTTTAAATCTCTTGAAGATTTGATAGTTGATATTTAAGATGAAGTTGCCGAAGAAATTCCGTTTAGCTTGTACAATGGCTTGTCTAAGGACAGCTGACTGCCGTCTCCAGGCTTCTACGTCTTCTATTGTTCCAGTCTGATTAGCAGTGTTGCGAATGGCGTCCCGCTTTCTTTTCACTTCCTCAAGGTGTTTGAACCAAAACACTCATAGTGTTTATCCTTGCCACGAGGAATGGTCTTCTTTGCACACCTGATTATAATATTCGTGATATTTGTAAAGTTTGTCAGGATATTGGCTAAAGTTGAGGGGACTTGTGTGAAGTTCATTATCTAAAAGTTTTATGAATCTTGGCCAGTCAGCCTTCTTGAAGTTCCATGATAGCTTAGTTGGCACTTTTCTTGTCCTGCTTTTGCTGCAAATGGTAATACTAGCAATGGCTGGTTTGTGACCAGAATCAGGAACGTCAATTATTTTGCGGTGTGTGTGCTCGCTGATGTTGCTTGAAGCCAGGAGCAAGTCAGGAGTTGTTCTGGTTCCATTGTATTGCAAATATGTAACCGGAAACTCATTACTGTAAATAAGTTCAAGAGGGTTGCTGTTTAGCATGTCTTCGATTTCCTTTTCAACTATGTTTGTATCCTTGTAGTCCCTTTATACTACGGTTTTGCGTGAGATGTTCAGAAAACCAAAGTTGGGAATATTCTGGGATGGATTATAGACTGCATATACCCTGAAGTGATTTTGGCATTTACAAACATTTAATCTGATTATTTCGCATATGTCTTGTGTCAAGCCCGTATTGTTTATTAGATCGTAATGTGATGTGAGGCCTTCTTTTACTTTAGTCAGAATTCCACTTGCGACATGCCGGTATTTAGGAAGGAGATACAGGGTGTAACCTGGGAATTGGTAGTATTTCATTTTGTCATCCGAAAGGTTTGCCTCCATAATTGTGTAAATGTCTACATCATACGTTGTCCAGGGTGCACCCCGTGGAGTTAAGTCCATCGCGCACCCCCTACTGGCCAATGTCATATGTGTGAAAATGCCAATTTCTTTATCAAAGTGTAAGTTCAACATGCTTCGTTCTTGAGTGCCATCGATGTTAATAATTTTAATTCCGAAACTTTTCTGATTCATCTAGTCAAGTAAACTAACTTTCCATAATGAGTAAGGTTAATTCATAATAAGTATTGAATGAATGGTAGAATTCGACAAATTTTGAATTTGAAATTGGTTTAACAGGGTTTATTTAAAAGGCCAAAAGTATTGCCGTGTTCCTTCTACTACGGCCAAATAGGAAAGGTGGACTGTTTCCACATTTCCATAACTCTGTGTCCAATCTCATCTTCAAATCAAGTTCTGCGGAAAATTTTCTGTCTCGTTTTGCAATGGAATCGCATGACAAAGAACACAATGCGTGCAAAGAGGAGGCTTCTGATCAACAAGTCGAAGATGCGTCGATTAAGGTAGTCGAGGTCTCAAAGAAGCATACAAAACTTGGGAAAAGCCAGGTGCTGATATAACTGACTACATCAATTATGGCTTTACGGAGGAAACCCCGGAACGAATACGTAGAGAATCAGAGGATTCTTCATCAAGAGTATGCTAATTCCGCCATTAAACCAGTTGTGATTGGATCTACAGTGGGTCTTAATCTATCAGGAGGCAACTCTTATGGACCCGGAGTTAAATGTGCTCGTGGCCGGCAAGTGAAAGATATTCCAAGTAGCAATCGTGGCCGTTCGCCGTCTATGAGTGAGGAT